CCATAGGTAATACATAAACAAATGAGCATGGCTGTGTTTCAATAAAACTTTATTTACAAAACAAGTTTGCAGGTGGATTTGGCCCATGAGCTGTAGTTTGCAGTCACCTTTTTGAGACAACATTTTCATTTTCAAAATGAACTTTTTTTTAAAGAAATGACATCATCAGGAATATTACATAATTCTTATATTTAGTAATTTTTTAGATCAACAAAATGGCTATTAATACTGAGATGGAGGCTTTTAAAATAACAGTAAGTAGATGAATACTCTCAGTGGGTAGCCTTAATTTGAAATTGCTTTGTGAATATAAAGAGAGGGTAAGAGTACAAGGAGAAAACCTAAAAATGATTCTCATCATGTTACCTATTAAGTGATATTTTTAAATTTTCCCCAACTTGCCCATTCTCTTTTTAATTTAATTGCCCTCAGTTTAAAAGCTTTCCATTGGAAAGTGGCCAACAAAGACTAATTTTCTTAAACAAAATTTAGTCTGAGTCAAAATCATGTTTTAATCAGTTAAAGTATAAGAATATAATGTTAACTCCTATAAATGTCACATTGAATGTACCATTTGGACTTAGCTTATGAGCGAAGTTAAGAAAGCCTGGCCCTTGATATTAGAATTTTAAAGGGGATTTATCTTTCACGACGGAATAGACTACTTAAAAGTGAATTTCTGTTAGGCTCCAGCTATCTCCTTGTGTTCATTAAATTACACAGCTTGAGCCTTCATTTGACGATTTGGCTCACCTTTTAAATGAAAGCTGAGCTTTTTCTCAGACCAGTCTTCAGTCTGACAATTTCAGTGGTGCTATATGAAGCATTTATTATCACCTATAATGTCTGCATAATGGCATGAAATCTGTACATACTTTTAAGATGTAGCCTAAGTTGAAGAGGACCTGGGGATAGGAGCACAGATGGAACAGCCTCTTAAAAAGTAGTGCAGTAGTTGGGGATTTCCTGAAGAAAGCCAGTAAGCTGAGCAGCATTAATGCTGACTGTGTCTAGTTTCCTAGGTCTCGATTACTACATACACAAAGTCCTCTGTGCTCCCTACATTGCAGTTTTCTTTGATAAAATAGATGTGTTAAAAGAAAATTGAAGAGCTAGCCAGTTGGCTTGGTTGGTTACAGCGTGGTGTTATAACACCAAGGTCAAGAGTGCCAATTCCCGTACCAGTCAGCTGCCAAAAAAAAAAAGAAAAAAGAAAAAGAAAGAAAATTGATGCCTATGCAGATTATAAAGCCATGACTGTCAAAATTGTATTAAGTTAAAAAGCAGAAAATTTGATCAAGTGACCAAAAGAAAGATTCCCTTCTTTCTAGAAACCCTATTATAAGACAAACCAGAAATAATACAACAGAAGCATATAAATCAGCATTTAACAAATGCTGTTGTTTCTGGTAGATAGCAATATTTAAAAAGAGTCAGGGCTGGCCAATTATCTCAGTTGGTTAGAGCGAGGCCTTGTCATACCAAGGTCAAGGGTTCCGATCCCCATACCAGCTGCCAGTAAACAAAACAAACAAAAAAGAATGTTAACTGTGTTTCTATCTTGCAGCTTACATAAAATAACGCAAAGAAGATAGACTTGTATATTTATCCCAATAAATATGTTACACTCTCTTAAGACCCCAGCTGTTAAGGCACCGAAAACCATCATCATCGACAAGAATGATGGGACTCAAAAATCAAAAGATTCTTTGCAGACTTTTCTGCACTAAAATGAAATCAAATAAACATAAAAAAAGAAAGCAATGGAATGGGGAGAGTTGTGTAATAAGCATAAATGATAAAGCTTCTCTGGAGTTTTTAGGAAACTAACAAAGTTAAGGAGATGGGCTTATTTATAAAGAAATACAGAGAGTAGATCATCTCATATAAAAACACATAGCCTCCCTTGCAATTTAAAGGCAAAATAAAACATATGGAACCATTATATATTTGTTAAGATATTAAAATTCCAAATGACTGAAGCTGGTGTAGAACTGTGAGCACACAAACATTGCTAGTAACATCATGTGAAAACAGAGTGGTTTGATTATGTTTTTTCTTTTTTTTTTTTTAAAAGATGACCGGTAAGGGGATCTTAACCCTTGACTTGGTTGTCAGCACCACGCTCAGCCAGTGAGCTAACCGGCCATCCCTATATAGGATCCGAACCCGTGGCCTTGGTGTTATCAGCACCGCACTCTACCAAGTGAGCCACGGGCCGGCCTTGATTATGTTTTTTCTGACAAACATTCTGACACTAGGTAATGGACTGTAAACCTGTTTGTATTTTTTACCCAGTTCTCCCCAGTGAAAGACTCCAAAGAAAACAAAGTAATTTTGTCTAGAGAGTTTAATCATTCATTATCACAAATAGCTTATATTTATTATTTCCTATGGATCTGGCATTGTGCTAAGTTCATGATGTAAGGATAAATTAAATCATACGCAACAACTCTATGTGTGATATAGCCTCTGCCAATATCTCCACTTCATAATTGAGGAAACTGAGGCTTAAGAGTAGAGAGGAAACTGAGGCACAGTGAAGTTAAGCAACCTACCCAAGGTCACACAGCTAGTGAGAGGTAAACCAAGATTCTAGTAAGATCTTTCTGACTGCAGTATCTGAATGTTGACGTCTAAGCTGTACTCTCCCCATGCAGTGCTAGTGACAAGAACCCAAATAAAAGATTATAAAAAGGGGGAGGAAATATTTAGTGAGACTAGCTAAATAACTGGCATATTAACAAGACAGAATGCTATATTGTTATATAAAGTACCGAGTTGTGTGGATTCTGTGGATACATAAGTGTGTTGGAAATTATGCCAGGCAGAAAAGCAGAACACAGAATCTTTTACACACATCAGCTATAAATATGGAAAATAGGAGCATCTTCTGGGGCAGGCAGCAGAGAATTTTACTTTAGGCAAGTTGCTTGATCTCTGTGACTCAGTTTCCTCATCTGTAAAATGGAACTAATGATAAATAGGAGCAGTTGTAAGGATAGGATGTGTTAACAGATTATAAAGTCCTTAGAACAGCACCTGTAGTACCCAAATATCTGTGGCTGTTCTTTTTATTTAACTAATACAATTTGGAAGTAAAATTGAGTGACAGAAATTATTTAGAATTGAATGTGCATTGGATACTTTTCACCATGAAGTTGCTTAAGTTTATAGTTTTGAGTGGAAGTGTGTGTGTGTGTCTGTGTGAGAAAGACAGAAAGAGATAAATTAGCCTAGTTCTCAAGAGACAAGCAGTGAGAGATTAGGATGTTGAGCACCTAGGTGGGGCTAGTCTCCCGCAAGGACACTTTAAGGTATTGACACCAAATCCAGCTGAACTCACCGTGCAGAGTTCAGCTCAGGACCACATAGAGCCCTTTGACTGCACTGACAATGCAGGGGTAGGAGAGAAGGCATTGACACCGTATTGGAACTCAGCCACTTGGCCTTGGTCCAGATTCTGTTCCCTTCCCTCTCCTTTTGAATAATTACAGCTTAAACCTTTTATTCAGTAGAGGATTTCAAAAGGTTACATGGATTTCCTATAGTAGAGATACTAATCAGAAGTATAATAAATAAGGGTATTGTATTGGTCTTACCCTGAAACTATCACAAATGTGGTGAGTGATTGTGTTACAACTTTCTCTCTTTCCTTTGGCCCCAGCAACCGCAGCTGCTCCCAGTGCAGCAAGAGAACTGAGCTTAACCTCACAGCTTAAGAAGCTGCAAGAGACCATTGAGCAGAGAACAAGGATAGAATTTGGGGACATTATCCGAATCAGAGGCTACATCCGCACATACAGAGAAGAGCGAGAAATTCATGCCACGGCTTACTGTAAGCACAAGATATTGCTGCCAAATTATTTGTTATTCTGGGTGTGTGTCCAGTAAACTCTTGTTTACCTAAAAGTCAAACTTCCAAAAGTTTAGATAAGAAGATTTAACTCTGTTTAATGGGGGAAATTATATTGCGTAACATGCTTTCTTTAGAAAAGCAGTATTTCTTAATCTTATTTTGAAGAGAGGTAATTATAAGTTGGGAAAGAAAGTGGATTATTTACTATGTATAGTTGGCAAGTTTATTTGGACAACATAGTAGAGTTTCCAAGGTACTTTGAAGTTAGACTAAGTGTCAATCCATTAGGGCACAGTGTTGATATTCTTCAAAATGATGGAAATTTCTTTAACGACATTGAGTCCATTAACTCTAAATGAAAATAACTAACCAGAAATATGACAGTCCCACCTCATCTTCCCTCCATACTGTGCTGGCTGGTTTTCAGGTGGAAGTCTCGAGGCCAGCCCCTGTGGTCCCCATGGGAAGAGATGCATGAACACTCACCAGTGCACTTTCCTAGCCCCAGCCAGCTCCCCAGCCAAGCCTGTGTATTGCATCTGGTCTCACAGGATGACTGGGAACCATTTAGTGCCTCTGGATTGTATGATCCCTGAACACCCACAAGGGAGGACACCCACCAAGTGCCTCATTTACTGTTGTCCTAGCAGCAGTTTGGACATGGGAAAGAACTGATCTCAGTGTCATTTCTGTGATGTCTCTTTCATGGTGGTTTCTTAGATAAAGTGGACGATCCAGTGTGGAACATTCAAATTGCAAAAATGCTTGAACTGCCCATTATCTACAGGAAGGTTTATGACCAGCCTTTCCGCAGCCCAGTTCTAGAGAAAGAAAAGGCACTAAGGTAAGTTATGCCCAACGACTGCTGAAAACGTGAGCATAGCAGTACGGCCAAGCAGCAGGAGCCCAGACGCCAGGGTTGGCCTGGGTTCAAATCCAGAATGGTCCACTCAAGTGCTGTGAGGCTCTAGGCAGGTCCTCTAATCCTCTGTATGCCTCAATTTCCTCACTGTAAAGTGAAGATAATGATTGTACAAATGTCCTTAGGTGGTTGTGGGGGAAATATACATGTAATTGGAGTCACTGAAGGAATACAAGAGGGAGCAGGGAAAAATATTTGAAGAAATAATGGCTGGCATTTTTCCAAGTTTGATAAACACTGTACACTCACAGATCCAAGAAACTTGGTGAACGCCAAGGCAAGAACCTGAAGAAAACTGCACCAAAGCACATCACAATGAAAATACCACGCCATTGCACATCATAATGAAAAATCTACAAAAACTACACCAGCTGTTCTCAACCAGGGATGATTTTACTCTTCCATGTGGGGCCGGGGGGGGGCAAAACCCAGGAGGAATAAGAATAATACATATTTGCAAGTGTATGCGTGAAAGAACTCAGAGGAGATACAGAGAGCCACTAGCAGTGGCTCCTAGGAGGTGGAGGCAGAGGAGGACAGAAAGCACACTTTATACTATATATTCTTTAATTTTTTTTAACATGTGAATATATTTCCCTAATTTTAAAATTGTATTTAAAAAAAGTACAAATTATAGACCTGTATAAAATAAAAAGTGAAAATTCTCTTTCTGTCTCCTACCTCAGCACCATTCCCCAGAGGGTTACCACTATTCATAACATGTGAATATATTTCCCTAATTTTAAAATTGTATTTAAAAAAAGTACAAATTATAGACCTGTATAAAATAAAAGGTGAAAATTCTCTTTCTGTCTCCTACCTCAGCACCATTCCCCAGAGGGTTACCACTATTCATAGGCCGATGTGCATGAATCCTTTTAGACTTGTTTTTCCTGTGCACACACAGCACAAATATTTGCCCATATGTTTTGTGGATTTTTTTGTGCTTCTTTACAAAAACGGGAGCATACCTTACATGGTATTCTGCATCTTGACTTTTTTTCTTAATCTGTCATGAATATGTCTCTTAGTTCCTGCAGTTCAACCTCATCATTTTAAGCAACCACATGAATATTCACTGTATGAATTACCCTTTATGTCAAAAACAAGCATCAGGGCCGGCCTAGTGGTGCACTCGGTAGAGTGTGGCGCTCCTGCCAAGGGTTCGGATCCCATATAGAGACCGGTCCGCTCACTGGTTGAGCACGGTGGGGGCGCGACACCGAGGGTTGTGATCCCGTTGCCGGTCGCGGTACGGGCGCGACACCGAGGGTTGCGATCCCTTTACCGGTCACAAAAAAAGACAAAAAGGAAAAAAAAAAAAACAAGCATCAATGTAGTGTTGCATTTTCTAGCTAACTTTCTGTTTTATCCATGCCAACAAGGTGATGGTTTTCTACAGAGCGTTTTAAAACTTTACCCAGCAGCAATCCAGGTGCCTTGGACCTTGCCAGTCTCACATCTTTGCTGAGTGAAAAAGTGAAAGAATTCCTCACAGAGAACAGAGTGCAAACCTTTTACCAGCAGGAGCTGGAAATGGTGGAGTCTTTGCTGTCCCTTGCCAATCAGCCTGTGATTCACAGGACCTGCTCTGACCAAGTGAGTGCAACATGACCACGTGAGAATTCCAGTTCCCCACCCCAAATGTGCAGCTGAAGGGTGTGGGTGAATGTGACCATAGCATCAAGACTCACAGGGTGGACCCAGGCAATAGAAGTTGTGATTCTATAACGTGTCATTTCTATTCTGGAAAGGTCATTGACCACTAAGAATCTGAAATGAAGCTGGACCTGCCTTTTTTCCCTCCTTACTTAATTGCATTACGTTTAATCTTTGAGTAGGAAAAAATAGTCTAAGGTTTATAGTACTCAGTTGGTAGTACTCACTGAGATGGGTATTTAATCTCAGCAGAAGCCAAGTGAGGGGAAGGTAAATGAGAGGAGATAATTATCCTTCCAAGATTATTTATTGATCAGCAAGGTGATTCTTGAACTTGAACAAAGGTTTTTAATGACTTGCCCTCTCTTCACAAGAAGGTTGAGGAGTTTAAATAGTGAGTTGTATTCAGTCTGGTTTATAAGTAGAAATTTCAAGGAACACTTAAGTAACTTTTTATTCCTCTTGGAAAGAGCTGTCCCCAGGTTTTCACCCCTAATGTTACAGGTGAGCTTGTTTGGTTGTTTGGTGTTTGCTTGGAATTAAGGATTATTTGAGACTTCGTTTTTAGGCTTTCCCTTTCATTACAGTTCTTAGGTTTGTTGTTGTAACACGACTACTATTTGTTTATTTTTATTTATTTTCTTTATCCCACTGGGGAATGATCTCAGCTTAAGTGTGACCCTCTTGCCCTCCCTGACCACCTGATGTGATCGCCACGGGGTCCCTCACTGTTGTCTCCCTGTTTTCATATCTGTGATGTCACTGGTATTCATAGGCTTGCCTGCCCGTTCCTCCAGCAGAAATTAAGTTCTGTGGGAGCAGAGGCTTCGTCTGTCTTGTTCTTTGCTCTCTGCCCAGGGCCGAGAATAGGGCTGACATAAAGCAGTTTCTCAATAATTATTTATTGATTGAAGGAATGAATGGTTTTTAAAAATTCCAATAGTCACAGAAAGTATATGGTGAAAAGTAAGTTTCCTTCCCATCTTCCCTCCCACCTCCTTTTCCCAGAGACAAGCACCATTACTAGCCTCTTGAATATCCTTCTGGATAGAGTTTGTGCATATATAAAGTAGAAGTAGTTGTATCCCTTCTTTTTTACACAAATGGTAGCATTCTGTAGTATACTGTAGACCTGGCTTTTCATTGAACAGTATGTCTAAGAGATCCCTTCCCGGCAATACATATCTTTTGTTACATGGACCATAATTTATTTAACCAGTTTCTCCAGTCCTGGATTGTTTAGATGTTTTCCAGTCTCTCTCCATTACCATCAAGGCTACTATGAGTACCTGTGCCAGGAAACAAGTTGTTCTTCGTGATTCTGGTGGGATACAGGTCACCCTCCCAACCTCCGAGGAACCTGTGCTTCTCAGTTTTGTTCTTGTACCTAATGATCTGTGCCTGGCAATAGGCTTATGTGCCCAGTGACCCATGCTTTCACACAGGGAGATGAGGGATAGCATTTCAGAAAGCACCCAGTGGAGAGGGTCACATCTGGGTGCTTTATTCTTTGCCAAGGTTGCTTCTACACAGTTGCATCTGTCCAGGGAGAGCAAGATTGACCTTTTTCCCATTTAATCATGGGAAAATCATTTAATCATTTAGAGGAGGTTCAGAGCCAAATTGACCTCCTAGGGTTTCTGATGGCTCTGTTGGTGTGTTTGGAAGGAAACTTTAAAGCTTAGTGAAAACTACATTCCTCACATGAAGCAGCTCCTCTGTGATAGCTATAATCAGGTAAAGAGACTTAAGGACTCTTTGAGGACTGAAAGCCTCCTCCATTCAAAATGATTGGTGGGGAACTTTTGGTTTGATATCTTTTTGAAAACTCTTAGTGTGCTTAGAGTAGAAACTTGTGTCTGCCCAGTGCTATGTGTTTAAAAAGAAAGGAATATGGCACTATGTTTGTTTTGTCTTTGGAAACTATTTTTTTTTTCACCAATTATGAATTAGTCCCTCACGTTGCTCTGGGTGGGGGAGGTCAGTGTCATTAAATTGAATTCTGTTTGAGACCTGGGAGACTAAAGAAGCTTGACAATGATGGTGAAACCCTAGATCCTTTGTCACTTTCTGTTGTCATACCTATGAAAGCTTAACAAAAAGTCATTGTGATGGTGTCATAGTTTAGAGGCAGGCAGAGAGCGGGTTTGAATGTTTTCTCCTTTTCTTTGTTGTTCCATAATGGCCTTTCTTAGCAAATCCAGAAACATGATAAGCAGACCTTGCAAAACCATTGTTTCTTTGGCAGCTGGATGAATGTTGAGTTTATTTGGAAATGAAGACTATATATATTTCAGGGATCCACCCAGTTCCTGACCTGAGATGGAGAGAGGCTTAGTAAGGCTCTGCACGTTCAGCCGGTCGCTGTTTTTTTCTGTGAGCAATTTTGGTTTCCTGAATCTCGAGTCTGTCATTGCTCTTTCAAAAAAGACAAGAAAGACACAGACCCAAGTCCAAAAAAACCTGCTGGTGAGAAGGTGATGGGAGGCTTTCCCCTTAGGACTGTGGTCTTTATAACCAGGCCAGGGAGATATGTCCCGAGGTTAGCTGAGGCAAACATTTTTGGAAAGGAAGCTTCACACACTGTTTCTATTTACAAAAGCCATTTCTGGTGTGTCCTTCTTGTTCACAGCTGAAACCCTGAAACTGTGCTTTTAATTTCCTGGGCCTAGCTCTGTCTCCTACTACTTGTTCTTACTGAAATCTGGGAGGAGGAACCAGGCATTTCATGTGGTCTGGAGATAACCAAGAGTTGTTTTTAATGACAGGAATAATAAATAATGTGACAATCATTTCTACGTAGTTTCTAATTTACTTCCATCTTACTAAGAGGCGTAATAAACTTGACCCTTAAGGTCCTTATGTTAAATTGACTACCTTAAAGATTAAGTAGTTATAAAGGTTTCTTAAGGAGTGTGTATCAGGTTGATTGCACATCCCCTAAGAGCATTCATGTGTGAAATTACTTAAGGCTTTCCCTTAAGCCCCTGTGAATAAAAAGATGTGTGGCTGAGGATTTCTAGGTGAGGTGTTATTCGAAACACACCTAGACAGCTTCTCTGAGAGTAGGAGTCATCAGGTATTTCTCTGCCATATTCTCCCTTCAGAGAACAGGCACTGTCATAAGCTGGGATGTTTGTTAGTCTTTAGGCCCCAGTGTTCTAATGACCACGTTCTCCAGTTTGTTCTGTTAGGAAAAACTCAACCTATTAATTTAATTAAGAGTGTTAAACTGTCATCTTTAGCCCAGGTGAGCACATTTGTGAAACATCACTGGAAGCTGTTAGATTAACAGAATGCCTTAGAGGGCCTCCTCTAGAATGGTTTCTTTAGGGATGGAATTGTCAACATTTGAGACCATTTGGGAGTTCTTTCCTTTCCCTGTCACCTTGAGGAAATGTCATCAGCAAATCTCAACCACTCGCTCTTTTTCAGCATCTGTGGGTGCTGCCCCCAACAGCCCTGGTAAGTACCTTTCATCAGAGGTAGGACCTCACCTTCAAACACTTTTTTGGAAGCTTTGCCATGTTTCTTTGGAGCGCTGATCTTTTTAATATCTTGACAGATTTCTGTCACATTAAAAATGGAGCTGAACATCAAGGTCAAGGGTTTGGATCCCCATACCGGCCAGCCGCCAAAAAAGAAAAAAAAAAAGGATCTGTAGATCTCTACCTTGAAGGACAATTGTTGTTCACCATTTTCTTTGTTTTGGGAATGAATGGAAAATCCCTAATGGAATAATAAGGATACAGCCTCTCTAATGGGGTATTTATTGCCATTCATCTCACAAATATTTTCTTGGTCAGCTACTGTGTGCCAGGGAGGACATGGCAGAGATGAAGTACAGAGTCCTCACCTCAAGAAGCACAAAGGCTGGTTAACCAGGATGGGACGTAGCTGTCAGCCTAGCTTCCTTGGGAACAAGAAATGGGATGACCCGGTACCTTGTCTGGCAAACCCATCTCTTGGAGAAGGGAACAAATATTGAAAGGGAGGAGATGGAAAGCCAACAGCAGCAGAGACTCCTTCCCGGTGGAGTCCTGGCTTCACCCCAGGCCCGCACTCTACTTTTAACCCATGGGCCCACCCTGCGAGGTCTCTGCACGGCTGTTTGCCTCTATCGTCCTCCTCTTAAAATAAGGAGACAGCTTACTACTTACCGCATGCTGGAATCCCCAGATTACTTCAGTATGTGTAAAATTCTTTGAAGTCCTTAGGAAGAGATTGTATATAGCCACGATTTTATTTTATTTTATTTTATTTTATTTTTAGATCTTTTTTAAATTTTTATTTATTTATTTTTATTGAATCAAAATTGATTATACATATTTTGGGGGTTCAACATTGAGATATATTGATCAAATCAATATTACTAGCATATATATTCTTACAGATCCTAATTCTTTATGTCCCTTGACAAATCCCTCCCCATCCCCATTTCCCTCCCCCCTCTAATCACCCTAGATTTCTTCTCTCCCTCTGAAAGAATAATGGTTACTCTGTTGATTTGCTGCCCAAATGATCTGTCCAATGCTGAGAGACATGATCAGGTCCCCCAGTACTATCATAGAGCAGATGCCTCTTCAGTCAGTATGAAATGGGCTCTGTGGAGACAGACATCCTCCTCCTTTCTTGATCTCTGCTGGTGACTCTCCTTGTGTCAACTCACTCCAATGGCTGGCGGACCATCTGCGTGGTGGTTGTGGCGTCTAGCTGCCTTGGCGGCAGCCATGGTTATAGTGGTGGCTGAGGTGGGCCACCCACACGGAGGAGATATTTTTGGCCTGCTTCGTAGTGCTGGCAGTGTGCCTGGTTGTGGAGAGTGTCTGATCCCCGGTTCCATCCCCCGGTCCCCAAGTGGGTCCCGAGGCACTGGCACAGTGTGCCTGGTTGTGGGAGAGGGTCCGGTCCCCTTCTCCATGCCCAGGATCCCCGGGTGGGCCCCGAGGTGCTACAGCCACAATTTTAATGGAGAAAGGAGCTCATATGTATGCAACATTTTGATTCTGTATAAAAATTAAATCAAAGATTGTAACAACGGCAAGAGTAGCTTTTTGATTTTTCAGTCAATATCATTGATTAAACAACAAAAAAATCACAACTAAGGTATGGAGCAGCATGATCCTGCCAGAGCAAACTTCCCAGTCCTCCTTAAACACCATCCTGTTCTGCTGGTGTGTACTTAGATCTTTTTGACTCAGCAGATAAAAAGCCTGTTGGGTGAATTCATAAACCAGTTGATCTAGGAAGCAGCTCTCAGGTGCTGTAAGATGGGACTTATTTCCTCTCTTTTTTTCCTTCTCTTTTCCTCTTCATACAGGTGGATTTTAAGAACGACACCACTTCCAAGGCGATTCATAGTATATTTAAGTGTGCCATACAGCTGCTGTGGGAAAAAGGACTCGTTTTCCAGAAGGATGGTGGTTTCGATAACCTATACTATGTAAGAGACCTGCACCTTAATTTTTTTCTTCACAGCTTCAATTACAAATATATTTATTACCTACAAATACCTACTTATTGTATTTAAAAAACATTAAGGAGGTACATAAAATCAGAAGTGAAAGTTGGCCCTTCTCTTTCCCAAGGTACCTCTTCTAACAATATATCCTTCTAGTCATGTATCTGTATATTTATAGGGGCAGACATATAAAAATATGCTCCTGTGGCTTATTTGTTTTACCAAAATGTGATCATCTTCTAAATCAGGGTTTCTCAACCTCAACACTATCTGGATCAGATGATTCTTTGTTGTGGGGCTGTTCTGTGCACTGTAGGGTGTTTAGCAGCCTCCCTGGCCTTTACCCAGTAAGTGTCAGTAGCAGCCCCCTAGTCATGACAAGTAAAAATGTCTCTGGACACTGACAAATATCCCCTGGGACAGTTGAGAACCACTGCTCTAAATAATGCTCAGCAACTTTTTTGGTACCAAAATAGCACATCTTGGGCTGGCTGGTTAGCTCAGTTGGATAGAGCGCAGCCTTATAACACCAATGTCGAGGGCTTGGATCCCTCTACCAGCCAGCCACCAAAAAAATAAGAAAAAACAAAGTAGCATTTCACAGGCTCCTATCTATAGTAGTACTACATCTACTTCATTCTTTTTAACCTCCTCATGGTATCCCATATCATGGGTACATGCTGTACATTTTTTAACCATTCCTCTGTGGTGGACATTTATGATGTTTCCAACTTTTGCTGTCACACAGCTGTTTTTGCACAATTATCTCTGTGAACTCATTTCAGTATTCCTGTAAGATTGACTCTTAAAAGAAGAGTTGCTGGAGCAAAGGGCTTGTACCTTTAAATTTTTGGTTGACACAGTCTGACTGGCCTCTCTACAGGTTGTGCCAGTTGACACCCAGCAGGAGGAGGAGAGCGTGTTGGCCTCCTCCTTTCTGTGTTAAAAGTTCGCCTCTTACTGCAGACCTTTAATATTGGAGGAGCCAGTTGAACGTGAGCCTCCTTGCAACACTGACATCAATAACACAGCTGTGGCTTCAGTTACTTGCAGTTCTCCTAGCGACAGATCAAAATTCTGAGGTATCCCGAAAGTCTCTCTATTTACAGGCGAGATTCCTGAAGGGGAAGCTTTTCACAGGACATTTCCTGATGTTGATTTACACTAGTGATTCCCCATTTTAGAGAGTTTTTAAAAATTAAGATATGTTTTAAAAGCTATTTGAGTAATTTTGAAAAAGGTATGCCAGTCTGTAGAAGGGTGAATGTGATCCACCTGGTCCGTGCGATCCACCTGTCCCAGGACGGGTGGGAGTCCGATGCCTCCTGGGAGGCTGGAGAAGCGCCTGCTGGACAGCGCACCTTGAGCCCCCTCTGGGACACACATTCCTTGCAGGCCCTGGGGTCACAGGCAGCAGTCCAGGGTGAGGTGTGGCAGGGCTGCACCCTTCCTCCTGTGAATCATTGTGAGTTGGAATGGGGCGATCAGGCAAGAGTAGATCTCTTGTCTGCACCTCTGACTTCACTCCTCCGTTCCCTGTAGGTTTCCTTCCTCCTGAGGCTTGGCCTCAGGGAAGTGGTTATCAAGTAATGTCAATACTTCTGTTTGTATTGGGCTTTCTGGTTTTCAGCAGCTCTCGCATGTTACCTTTTTTAATCTTCACAATAACATTGTGAGCTGAGAGAAAGCAGGTGCGATCAGTATCCCCATTCTGTAAGTCTGGCCATGTTCTTGGGCTGTGTCAGGAGGAAACTCACAACTGTTTGCATGCTCGTTTTCTTTCTTCTTCCCTTCTTCCCTCTCTCCTTCCCCCCTCTTCCTCCCTTCTTTCCTTCCTCTTTTTCTCTTTTCTTTTTCTTTCCCTTTTTTTTTTTTTTGTTATTAGATTTACTATTGAACACGAAGGTGAAACCCATTTGGTTGCAACTTCCTTCTTACCTGAGCTGAGAGAGAAACTTGGTTATGTCTGCCTTCGAGAGCAGAAGGTGTTTCAGTGGATAGGCTAGATTTGCTCTCTTGCTAGCTGTTCCTTACAATTTTTTTCTTTTATTTTTCCTTGTGATTGGGAGAAGGAAAAAAACTAATGAATCACAGGGCAGGTGTCATGGCCCAGAGGAAGGGGTCCTGGGGTGGAAATTGGAGACTTCAATCACTTGTGCCTTCCTCAAAAATATAACAAATAAGAGTAAACTTACAAAATGTGTTGAGTGTTTAATAAGAAAATTGCTCCTTAAAAGTACAGAATTCCAGTTTTTCTTTATGCCATGGCGCCAGGGAACCAACTCCCGAGGGTGTGTGTGCTGGCCCAACTGCCACAGTGAGCCACTTAGGAACAGAACTGGCCTGACAATAGGCCAAGTATCGAAAACCACGTTTTGATGTAGCAAAGATGATTGTTATGAAATCTTTAGAAACTATCCTAAGTACTAATTTGGGAGTCTGGATGACACAACTGCCCTGTTACCTAAGAACACTTTCTATCTGAACTATTTTTCCTATTTAGGTAACAAGAGAAGACAAAGACCTGCACAGAAAGATCCACCAGATCATTCAGGAAGATTGCCAGAAACCAAATCGTAAGTGGTATAATGCACAGGTGCTGCCCTGGTGCACTGGAAGGGGATGCTCCCTCCCAGAGAGCACTGGATGGAGAGTCAGGAGACCTGGGGCTTGGCCCAGTAGTGGCTTGGAGAGGTGATGCTCGAGGCACCAGCCCTCTCTGAGCCTCAGTTTCCTCTTCTTTACAGTGAGTATTAGGCTAGCACAGTTGTTCTGACCTTGGCTGCACATAAGATTCAGCCTCGGAGCTTTTAAATATGCAGTGTGCAGGTCTCACCCCTAGGGATTCTGATTCTATGGGGGATGGGGTGGGACTAGACAGGTGAGGTCTGCAGGTGATCCTGATGCAGTGATGTAAGCCATTACACTAGAACTCTTTGATGTCTTTCTGGTTCTCATGTTCTTTCTGATTTATATTATTTCTTGTTCCACACTTTCCCCTTGTCTTTGAACACAAACCTGTCATTTCCCTGTCTTCTAACATCAAGGCCTTTCAGTGTTGGGAGGAATGGTTCTAGACATTACAGTGTGTGGATGGTATAATTCAGTGATCTTGGAAACTGATCATTTGCAAAAGAAATAGTTTAGAAAATAGTTTTAGTGGAGTTAGGTCAGCCTCTAGTGGTTAGATGCTCAAACTGTAGCTAATCTGGCAATGAACATTACCATTTCCACACTAGTTAGAAGGAGAAGGAAGCATTAGTCATATCTTTAAATCCTAAGTAAACTAATCAGTCTCAAAGGTGACTTTTCAAAGTCCACCTTTTGCAAACATATGCTAATAACAAATGTTGGAGACTTTGTTAATGACCCCAAGTCCCCTGATCCTGCCAGAGAAGTCCACCTCCACTCTTTTCAGCATGTACATCCCTGGGGCTTGGACCTGCTCCAGGCTGAGTCAGCGGGTGGAGCTGGGCCAGGTCTCCAACCCTGGTGTTTATGGTATCCCTATTTAGCCTTCAAGAATTGATGAGGTCAGATCCCAGACTGGTGTGACAACAGGTCTTAAAATAAACTCAAAGCAATCTATTATTTTAATGCAAGTGAATGAATGTTGTTCACTTCATTCAGAACAATCAAAACAGACTTCAGTTGAGGGGAAAGCCTGTTTGTCCACAATTGAAAGAGCTTTTGAGAACAGTGCAATGTGGGATTTCTCAGCCAAGAAGAGAAGAGAAGATGCTCTTAAGAAAACATTCCTGCTCCATCCTAGTCCTAGCCTGGCCAGATTCTTATTTTGATCTGCATTAGAACAGAATGTGGATCAAAGCCTCTAGGGCTGGTGAAGCAAATGAAAGGAATTCACACTTCATTTCTTAGGAGCCCCTAACAGCCTCAGTGACCTGAGTGGGGAGGTACAGGTGGCAGGTTTTATATCCACTCACAGGCCAGCTCCTGCTTCCATGAGTGTCTGCGTAAAGGTGGACAGACTGTGACACTCGTGCTGTAAAGGCAAACTTCTAAAAGCCACAAGCCAATGTCCTGGCACTAATAAACTCCCAGGAGCTGAAATCTGGAGCCTGAGTAACTGAGAATGCCCATAAAAGACCTCATCGGGACTGTCTTGTAATCTGCTGGGACCACTCCTCTTCACAATGCCATAAACTGTGGCATTAAAACATTATTCTGAACACTAAGATATGCACACTTAAAAAAAATGAGATAATGCAAAAATACACACAGAACAGTCTGATTCCCTTCCAGCGCTGAGCCGTAGCCTCTGTGTTCCACTCTCCAAAGACAGTGGTTGTTACTAGTTTCTTTTTTATTTTTATCAATATATAATGTAGTTGATTTTCATGTCCCCTTTACCAATTCCTCCTTATCCTCCCTCCCTCTGCCCCGTCCCCCATCAACATCATATCTGTTCACTTGTCTTAACAAGTTCAAGGAATTGTTGTGTCTTTTTTTTCCCCTCCTGTTTGTTTGTATATATTTATTAATTTATTTTTATTAGTTCCTACAAATAAGTGAGAACATGTGGTATTTCTCTTTCTGTGCCTGGCTTATTTCACTTAATTTTCTCTAAGTCCATCCATGTTGCTGCGAATGGTAGTATTTCACTTTTTTTTATAGCAGAGTAAGTATTCCACTGTGTACATGTATCACATTTTTCTTATCCACTCATCTGATGATGGACATATGGACTGGTTCCAACTCTTGGCTATTGTAAATAGTGCTGTAGTAAACATGGGAGTGCAGGCATTCCTTCGACATAATGATTTCCATTCCTTAGGGTACATTCCCAGCAGTGGGATAGCTGGCTCATATGGTAGATCTATCTATAATTGTTTGAGGACCCTCCATACCATTTTCCATAGAGGCTGCACCATTTTGCAGTCCCACCAACAGTGTTGGAGAGTTCCTTTTTCTCCACATCCTCGCCAGCATTTGTCATTCTCAGTCTTTTGGATATTAGCCATCCTAACTGGAGTGAGATGGTATCTCAAAGTGGTTTTGATTTGCATTTCCCAAATGCTGATGTTGAGCATTTTTTCATGTGTCTGTTGGCCATTCATATATCTTCCTTTGAGAAATGCCTATTTAGCTCTTTTGTCCATTTTTTAATTGGGTTGCTTTTTTTTTTTGGCTGTTAAGTTGTTTGAGTTCCTTGTATATTCTTATTATTGATCCTTTGTCAGATGTATATTTTGCAAATATTTTCTCCCATTCTGTTGGTTGTCTTTTTGCTCTGTTACTTGTTTCTTTCCCCCCCCAGAAGCTTTTTAGTTTGATATAATCCCATTTGTTTATTTTTCCTTTGGTTGCCTGTGCCTTTGGGGATGTATTCATAAAGTCTGTACTCAATCCTACATCCTGGAGTGTTTCCCCTATGTTTTCTTTAAGGAGTTTTATTGTTTCAGAATGTATATTTAATTCTTTAATCCATTTTGAGTTGATTTTAGTATATGGTAAGAGGTACAGGTGTAGTGTCATTCTACTATATTCATTATACTATTTCTTGTATATCCTTCTAGAGATGTTATATGCACTGACAAACATATTTTATCCTTTTTTTTTTTTTTTTTTTTTTTTTTTTAAAGATGACCGGTAAGGGGATCTTAACCCTTGGCTTGGTGTTGTCAGCACCACGCTCACCCAGTGAGCAACCGGCCATCCCTATATGGGATCCGAACCCGTGGCCTTGGTGTTATCAGCACCGCACTCTCCCGAGTGAGCCACGGGCCGGCCCTGATATTTTATCCTTTTTAAAAAACACAAGTGAAGGTTAGCACACAAAACACATTGTTCCATACCTTGTATTTTAAATCTAACATTGGCTTCTAGAGGTCATCTGGCAATAGTACATATAATGGAAATCAGGTTTCCAATACATGAACTTTTGGGGGATACATTTAATCCATAGCAATAATAGTATCTATATCATGGGTTGTTATGAGAAGCAAATGAATTGGTGTTTACAAAGCTATTGGAAGAGTACTCAGCATATACTTAGGGCTACAGAAGAGTTAAATAAAAATGAAGCTCCAGGTGATAACCCTTAACTCTCTAGCCTGGAGTCCTGGAGGCTCACTCTCTGCTAGGTTTATAATATTGATATGGAAGGAACAGTTTGAGATAGAATCTCTGTGGATTTTGCTCTATTATTGTTGGGCTAAAGTTTAAAAAGTCTTGATTTTTGCTTTAAGTATGGGTACAACAATGGTAAATTATCCAAAAAGAAAGAGGTCTACATTGAAGGTGTGTTTTTATCCCCAACTTTTTATTATGAAAATATTCCAATCTATAGAAAAAGTAAAAGACTGGTACAATAAACACCCATATACCATTCACCTACATTCACTAAAAAAAAAATTAGCATGCATTTTCTAAGCATAGGGACATTCTCCTATATAATCATCACATCATTTTCACACCTAAGAAGATTAACATTTGGTGAGTTCTAAAACGGCAGCATCTCACTAGATGATTACTGTACACGTGAGCTTTTCGAAAAGCTGATGATATATCAAGCTCAGACTCATTGTATGCATTGGGTTGTACAACGTTTTTTTGTGGAAACAGTGTTTTGTGGAATGCCATATAATACTTCTTATATTGGAGTGATTTTTTTAAAACTTATTACAATCTTTTAGAAAGACTGTTAGAATGATTTCTTAACATTTTATAGTTAAGTAGATATATCTGAAATTTATCTTAATATGATTTTGGTCTTTAGAATATCTATTTAGAAAGCTATTTTTGGTTTCTGGTGGAGGTATGGTATCAGATGAAGAGCACTTAGAAGAACGTAAGGCACAGTAATCATTGGTCTTTGAGATGCATTGTAGGATAAGTGTCTGCCAGGCAAACACCTTTCAGAAAAGTCTGCTTCAGGGCAGGCCCGGTGGCGCACTGGATAAGTGCGCCGCTTGGGAAGCGCAGCGGCGCTCCCGCCCGAGGGTTCGGATCCCACATACAGACCGGTTCCCGCTCACTGGCTGAGCGAGGCGCGGGAGCAACACCGAGGGTTGCGATCCCGTTGCCGGTCCTCGGTCCGGTACGGGGGCAACACTGAGGGTTGCGATCCGTTGCCGGACACGGAAAAAGACAAAAGACAAAAAAATAAAAAAAGAAAAGTCTGCTTCACCTTGTGGGTTTGTCCTATGAAGAGTCAAACGATATGTTCTAACCTCTGGGGAACTGCTTGCTGGCTTTTACTACTTTGACTATTTTCTAATAATTTCTCATATAAAGAAGAATCTAAGCTTATGTCCCCATGTGACTGGAAGGTCACTTTTTGAACAGCCCCACCACACAACCCTCAGATAGCAGACCAGCCTTCCTGCAGAAGTATTTTAGGCCTCCGGGACAGTCACCATCGCTGCTTAGGGCCCCATGTAGACCTGTCAGTCATCTCGAGCCTTGAGCCCAAGCAGCCATGTCTTACAAAACTAAGGTTAAAAGCTGAGTAGGGGCTGGTTGGTTAGCTCATTTGGTTAGAGCATGGTACTGGTAACACCAAGGGCCAGGGTTCGATCTCTGTACCTGCCGGCTGAAAGCTGAGTAGCACTCCTGGTGCTCCCTCTCTGCAGGGTGTGGGCCTGGCTTGGTTGGAGTCCTTCTCCAGCTGTCCTCTGTCATCAACCCCATCCTGCCATCCCTTGCTATTTAGCTTTAACTGTCTGTGAGTCTTTTCTTCTTGGGAAGGGTTGAAGCTTCTTTAGAGCAGGGACTAGGTTATGTGCACCATCTTGACTTATGGATGAAGTGATAGAATCATAGTAATTCCCCTGTAAGAAGCACCTACCACAAGTCCCCTTTCATCTACCCAGCCACCCTGTGAAGTAGGTTGTTTTATTCTCAGGAGCCACTTTGCCCCGGTCATAGAGCCAAGACTTGAATTCAGGTCTGGTGGACTCCAGTGTCACCTGTCCGTCCACCACATTCTACTTGCTCCTCCTTGCTCAGCACTGCACACGTAGTAGGTGTTCAGGAAATCTTTACTGAGTAAGTAAGTGTTGAAGAAGCAGCCTGGAAATGTGGAGACCAGTAACCCCAGTCGGGAGGAGCAATGCGTTGATGCAGCCACTAGAGGTCAGAGTTTAGCAAATCTTTGTTAGCCCAGGACCAGGCTCTCAAGCTCAGAGCTGGAAAGGACCTCAGAGGTGGTCCCCCCTCCCCAGTGACCCTCCTCATAGGTGAGAAAGCTGAGGCTCAGGGATGCCATGACTTGCCCAGGGCTACAAAGGTGCGTAAAACCCTGCTTTGCTCAACACTGCAATACCCCGTTCAAGCAGTTTCCTGGAGCCTGAAGCATTTTTTCTATCTGAAAACAACATTCGGTGACTGTGTGGAGCAGCTTTTGTGTGCCAGGTGCTGGGTATACAATGGTGAGAGGCCATGTCTAGCCCAACCGTGGAGCTTTTTTTTTTTTTAAGTTTATTTATTTATTATTATTATTTTTTTTTTTTTTTTTTTTTTTTTTTTTTTTTTTTTTTTTTTTTTTTTTACGTTCTGTGATGTTGTTGCAGAGCAGCTGGGGGGAGGGGGAGAGGGAGATGGGAAGGGGGAAGGAAATAGGGTGGGAGAAGAAGGAAGGCCGATGATACTTCTCATTCCTGCATGGGAGACCAGGGGTCTTCCAGCAGTGGCTTGGTCATTGCTGGCTGGGTGTAGATATCAGAGCGGTGTGGCTGAAGCCCTTGCCACACCCCACAACCACCCCAACTCGGGAGCCCGGGGCACTTCCTGCAGCAGCTTTGTGGTCATTACTGGGCTGGTTGTGGGTGTTGGGGGGGGTACAGCCAAGGCCCTCGGCCCCCTACCTCCCCAGCTTGTGAGAGCCCAGGGTGCTTCCTGCAGCAGCTTTGTGGTCATTACTGGGCTGGTTGTGGGTGTTGGGGGGGGTGCAGCCAAGGCCCTCGGCCCCCTACCATCCCAGCTTGTGAGAGCCCAGGGTGCTTCCTGCAGCAGCTTTGTGGTCATTACTGGGCTGGTTGTGGGTGTGGGGGGGGGGGGGGCAGCCAAGGCCCTCGGCCCCCTACCACCCCAGCTTGTGAGAGCTCAGGGTGCTTCCTGCAGCAGCTGGGTGGTCGTTGCTGGCTGGTTGCAGGTGTCAGGGTCATGGCTGAGGCCCCTCCCCCTCCCCCTCCCTGTCTTGGTAGCCCAGGTGGCTTCTAGTCCTTTCAGGTTTTATAGGTTTTCTTTGGTGATGAGAGACCATTACTAGTTAATATCAAACTTTGTCTCTGGTTGTGGGTAATTTTTTTCTTTCATCTCTGTGTTGGATTATTTGCTGTTCCCATCATTTAAATTCTGCACTGGAACTAATTTGTTGCCCTTTGCTTACTTCTAAAATGGGGGGACTTCCTGTGGGGACCAGTACTTGAGCTCTGTGGTTGAGCTAAATTGCTGCTTTGCTGCTGATTCCCTGGGGGAAGGCTTTTTGTGCAGCTCGGGTTTTAATGGTTGACTTTATAGGTGCTTCTGAGTCTCATGAGATCCAGTGCACCTGGGTTGTACAGAAACTCTGGTCTGGGCCTGAGTCTTTTCAGTAAACTGCACCCCCTGCAGTTCTGTATTCCTGATCAGTCTACACTGAGTGGTCCTACGCTGATTAGGGGGCAGATCAGCTGTTCTTGCTGTGCCCCACTATTCCCCCGGTGGGCCCGTCTCCCTCACCACCCATGCTACGAACACTTCCCATAGGAAGGGCCCTGTGCTGGTCCCTTGCCATGACTCACCGGCCTCTGAATGGCTCCTTTTTCTAGTTGTTGTGGTTCCTTGCTCCTGTGTGGGTCCACGGGAACCCTGTTAGTGGTCTTCCTGGCCTGGGGGCCAGAAAGGCCCTCTTCTCCCCTACAGCCTCCAAGCAACTCCATCCAAAGGGCACAGCTGTGGCTTTTGCCAGCTCCTGCTCTGTGCACTCAGCAGGACCAGCCTTAAAGTGTCCGGGGCTCAAAGTTGTCAGAGCAGTTTTTTCTTTCTCTCATCGTGGCTTCTCCTGCCTTCATGAACTCCGTACGTCTCTCCTCCTCTTCCCCTGAGCTCTAGCGGCCCCAGCTTGCTTTTTTATAGTTGTAAATTGGTTGTTTTGTGGGAGAGAGTGATGCTGGGAACCATCTATTCCACCATATTGACTGGAAGCTAAGAGAAATCTTTTCTGAGGCAAATTTAATGCAGGCTTAGAGTAAGAATCCAATTGCCTTAATGTGGGGATGGTACAAAATGGACTAGAAGAAACAGAGATGTAAATCTGGACAATTGCTTTTTTTTTTTTTTTTTTAAAGATGACCGGTAAGGGGATCTCAACCCTTGACTTGGTGTTGTCAGCACCACGCTCAGCCAATGAGCGAACCAGCCATCCCTATATGGGATCCGAACCCGTGGCCTTGGTGTTATCAGCACCCACTCTCCCGAGTGAGCCACAGGCCGGCCCTGGGCAATTTCTGAAAGAAATTCAGCCTCAAAGTTTTCAAACATTTTGATCTGTTAATATGTATTAAAATTGGAGCTCAAAGAGATCAATGAACTTGCCTGAAGTTGCTTAGTGACTAGAAGTGTATGTAGTGCCAGATTTTGAATCCAAGCTGTTCCGACCATGGAGCTTTAAAGTGTGAAGATTAGGGAGGGTCTATTTAGTAATGTTTGACTTTGACTCAGAATTAGAAATACATTTTACATCATGACCCAATAAATTATATAATTCTAATGCATAAGATATATATATAGGAAATAAAGTTTCACAAAGTAATACTTATCTTAATTATAATGCAGTGCATTCTGTAATATTCTATTCTAGTCTATTTTAGTCTGTTTGGTAAGAAAAAGAATGCTAATTACAACCCATGAAAATTGATATCATGATTCCCTAATGGTCACCACCCTCAGCATGAATACCACTGCTCTAAATCATTGATTTCAACTAGGAAAGAAGTTACTAACCCTCAACTTTTATCATTGTATACCAAGTAGTCTTAGTTTGGGGTAGAGGGTAAGAGGTTACTAGAACACAACTGTCATAGACAAGGCTTGTTGGGAGCCAGCAGAGAGAAATGAGAACAGGTAAAGGTAGGAATGCTTCTTGCTATGGCAGCCCCATCACATCAGGACACTGGAGGCAGAGTATGGAGGCCACTGCAAACTGGCTCTGCTGTGAGTCTCCAGAGGGGGCCATCTGGGAAGCCAGAGGTTCAGCACTGAATACATGCACTTGTACATGAAATTGCACTGGAGAAAAACATTGATCAAGCTCTAAAACTCCATTCAGTTATGGATATAAAATCACTGATTGGGAATCGTTGAAGGTTGAAGGTCAGAGACCCTAAGCAGTGGGTCCATGTCACTGTGGTGACACAGAGGGCCTGAGAACAGGTTTTTTGTTTTGTTTTTGTGATAATCTAGACAGGTACATCTCAAACTTAATGTGTGTAATAGTCATCTGGGGAACTTGTCAAAATGCAGGTGCTGATTCAGGAGAGGGGCTGGACAGAGGCGGCTCTGACAGTTGTGTTCGCGCTTAGCCACCTGTCTTTTTCCTGCAGATGTGGAGAAGGGTTGCCACTTCCTGCACATCTTGGCCTGTGCTCGTCTGAGCGTCTTCCCCGGCCTGAGTGAGGCTGTGCTGCAGCAGGTGCTGGAGCTCCTGGAGGACCAGAGTGACATCGTCAGCACCATGGAGCACTACTACATGGCGTTCTGAGCAGAGGCCCACAGACAGCATGGGAGGTCCAGCTGAGGAGGAGAGAGACAAGGTGGTGTTCACCCCCAGGCTCTCATTGTAAACACCATGAGGGGGCTTATATGTCTGGAAGCAGTAACCTCATAATAAACTTTAAAATATGGTCGTTTGGACAATGGGATCTGGCATAAATCATGTTGGCTGCCTTCCACCCACTGTATCCTTGGGATACAGTGACTTTGAGCTCAGCCACAACATACAAGAAAGCCCTGCCTGTTGACCTCTTGGCTGGACTGGGCATCACTTACAGAGCAGAAGGGGGAGGAAACAGTGTTGGTGGTTTAATGCTGTCGTGGTGGAGGGACATCACAGGGTAAAGGCCCATGCACTGCAGAAGGTGAAAAGCATAGGGTAAGGCCACACAATTTTTTTTTTCTCCCACCTTTGCCACATTTTATTGGTTAGAAGCAAGTCACAGTTCCCATCTGTACTCAAGGGAGAGGGGACAACAGAAGGGCATAAACACCAGCATCTGTGTTCATGAGAGATATTAGTGTGTCATTTTCTTGTCTTCTAATGTCTTTATCAGGTTCTGTTATTAATTTTATACAGATCATTTTTGAAAATGCTTTTTATTTTTATATATTTCTTTTCCTCTTCCTTTCAACTGGTTTTCAGAAACAGATACCAGGTTGAATTGTTGATAGAAACACCTAAGCTTTTGTTAGTAGAACATATGCCTTAAAATAAAAACAAAACAAAAAAAAAAAAAAACAGTATACTTGAAAACAGCATCAATAATTTTCTTTTGTTTTGTTTTGTTTTACATAAAAAAATGAGTTCATAATGGCCACCCACCCTCAAGGCCCTCACAATCCCTCAGGCCTCAGTCAGGGGCCTCTGGAAGCTTTATTCATGTCTTTTGTCAGTCATCCTTCGTAATGTTCCTAGTTTCTTGATAGAATTTCAGCAGCCTTAAACTTGAAGAGTTCCAAATATGTGTAGTAAATTTCTTTCAACTTCTGTACAATGACTGATTGAAGGCCACACAATTCTAAAGCTTGTTAAAACTTCAGGCCATCAGATGATGCATTCCTATGGGCCACTCTTGACAGTTAAGAACTGCTTTAGGGGAGTAGTTCTCCCCAGATGAGTGTGCTGCCTACGGTTTCTGTGGCTCAAGCACCAGCAGTGGGGCCAGAAGCCTGGGCTGATGTTTATAGACCCACCCAGAGATGGGAATAAACAGGGATCCAAGGTGTGGCTCTGTGGTTGTTATTTTTTCCTTATTTTCATTCTGAATTGGAAGGTGTCTCTACATTTCCCTGAACTTACAGAGGTGCATGACTAAATACATTGTCCTTCAATGCCCCTAAAGATCATGGAGGCTGTCAGCCAGATGCCTGGCAGGCAGTAGATGTTATTTTCAAGGTTGCCGCTGAGTGTGCAGAACGTGCTGACACCATCCAGACAAGACTCGGTATGTGCCCAGACAGGTGATGGAGTCATGCTTTTGTTCGGAATGACAAGGTAAAGGAAAAACATCTGAGGTATGCAATAGGCTTGTTCTAACAGCGAAATGACAAATCCAGCCAGCAAAAATCAAGCATGGAGAAAGATTTGGAATTAATTACAGTCATTTCGCAGAAGGCACATATGCCTTCGTCTGCTGCTTTTGCTCTTGACGTAATGAACTCTTGGTGGCCCAGCTGGAGATTCTGCAGGCCTGGAGAGCTGCTCTGCTGTCCATGGACATGGAATGGGCTTTACACTCAGAAGTAGCTACAGCTTGATGTGTCAGGCTGAGCTGCCACCAGCAGATTGCTTCTTGTCATTGGTTTTTCTGACTTCACTCAAACCTTGCTGATTTCTAACAGTGACTATGCAGGTGGCTGCCCTGTCTCTTCCCTGTGTTCAGAAGGGTCCCTGTGGAGTAGGGTCTGCCTGTAAGGATGTCCCAGCAGTTCTTCCTTGATGTCAGCAGCTGTTCCATATTGAATACATCTTTTTTTTTTTTTTTCCCCCTTTGGATACATCTTTGATTAGTGGGGCTGCTCAGGAAGGAGTCCAGAATCAGAATGTAAAAAGGCATATCCTTGCACACAGCAATTCCACCATGTGGGGTTTATCTCGAGGAGATGACCACACAGGTGTGAAAGGATGAATGCACAAGATGCCCGTGACTGTGCTCTAGAATTCTGTAATTGGGGAAAATACTTATTGGGGTAAAAGTTAATTATGGTCTATGTACACATTGAAATACTGTGCAGCTACTAAAATGATGGAGCAGACAGTACTGCCGTGGAGCATTATTCCCAATAGATTTAGTGGGAAGAAAATCGAGTTTGAGATGGGTTTATATAATATAATACCACAGATCTAAAATTCCGTGTGTGTATGTATATATCCATGCAGAGTGTGTTTCTGCATGTGTGTATTTGTGAATGTAGCGCATGTATACACATACATACAGTTGACTACTTCCTCCTCCTAGAGATACTTTCTGCATCTGGCTTTCAGGACACTGCACTCTCTGGCTGCTCCTTTTCAGTCTTCCTTACTTAGGTCCTTAGTCTCCCTGAGGGCTCAGGGCTCAGGGCTCAGTTCTAGTCCCAGACCTCTTTTGTATCTGGCTTGCTCTGTTGGGTGTCTCAAACAGCCTTGTGGGTCATACCCTCTGTATGTTGTCAAACTCCAATTGATATCCAGGTTGGACCTCTCCCTTGAACTTCAGACCCCTAAATCCAACTTCCTACTGAGGTCTCCACTTAAGTGTCTAACAGACAATATGCCCAAAGCCAGGCTCCCAATCACCTGACCCCAAACTTGCTCCATCTAAAATTTTTCCTTGATTCAGGAAAAGGCAGCCATTTTCCAGTTGCTTAGGCCAAATTCATAGACTTCTTTCTTTCACACCCCACATAAATCTATCTGCAAATCATCTTGGCTCTACCTTCAAAATATTTCTAGAATCTAACTGCTTCTCATTGCTCCACTGCTACTACGTGGGGCATTGCAGTCCCCTGCTGACTGCTCCTGCGTCCACCTGGCCCCTCTCCAGGACATTCTCAGCACAGCAGCTGCAGCTGTCCTGCTATGCTCCACTGTCCCGGGGCTTTGGGTCTCACTCCAGGCAGGAGCCTGAGCAGCACAGTGGTCAGCAAGGTTCTGCTCTGCCCAGCGTCCCTCTGCCATCCCCTCACCTGCTCTGCCGCTGCTCACACATCCAGGCACGTTCTTGCCTTGGTGCCCTTGACCTTGCTATTTCTTCTTCCTGAAATGTTCTTCGCTGAGATAACCATACGATGTGTGCCCTCTTCTTTCGGGTCTTTATTTGAGTGTCACCTCAGTGAGGCCTGCCCTCCTTCCTCTTCGTGACTGTGCCCAACCCCTTCTCTCTTCTTCCCAGAGCTCTTTCCCACCTTCATTCTTCTCTGCAGTGCTTGTTACTGCCTAACACACCCCCATGTGTTTCTTACTATTATCTGTCTCCCTGATAGAAAGGATGCTCCACGAGGGCAGATTCTCTCTGGTTTATTTCCCTCTGTGTCCCCAGCACATAGAAGAGTGCCTGGCACATCTTTCAAGCAACGCCACTTGTGTGCCCCCTTTCTGAGGGCTTTCTCCAGTGTCTTGGAAAGCTGTTCAGGCTGGAAATGCTCAGGATTAACAGCCCCTGGGAGCAGCCTCAACCAGTGGCCCCTTGGGCATAAATACTCTCGCTCCCTCGGCCTCCAGGTGAGATGCTGCTATGGCACATGTTCTACACTGCTTCCCTGTGCATTATTTCTCTGTGTATAATTTCTCTATGGGATTAAGCGCCATCTACCTTCCAAAGCAGCAAACTTAATAATCACCAGCCATAACCTCCAAGTCTTACCTCCCCGGTCCCCAATATTACAGCAGCTGTGAACTTGATAGCCACCAGCCTAACCCTCCCTGTCTTACTTCCCTGCTCCCCATTACTGTTTGCTGCACCTCCCAGATGAATTTCTTGCTCTCCAGTCTTTATCTCAGAGGTGGCTTCTGAATGAATACAAATTAATACCATGCTCACAAATATATTTGAGAAAAGCTGGATGAATAATTATATACATCAAACAAAGATTACTAGAAATGCTCGCCAAAGTGATATACTTAGGACCTTGGAAAGGTGAGATGTCAGATGCTTTTTAAACTACATATCTATACTTCGGCATTTTTACAATTAGCAAGTGTCACTTCTATAAAAATAGTAAAGCTGTTTCTCACCGCCCCCCACCCCCCCACACACATTCACATAACCTGAATCACGAGTAAACCAAGAATGAGACAAACCTCTTTCCTCCACAGAAACATAAGATCTCCGAGAAGATGAGGGAGGCTTCTTGGAAAACCCCCTGGGGCAGACTACAGTGAGGTCACTGCTCTTGTACTGAAGACCAGCCAGAGGGCTCCCCACAAAGGAGGGAAACTGAGCACACGTTCTCCAGCTCTCTTGGTGTACACATGTTTCGGGAGGTGTGAACCCCACACACAAGGCAAGCAGACAAAGGGTGCTGCCATCTGGTCAAGGGTTTGTTTGAAGAGCCATGATTATCCCCATCCGGTACGCTGCCAGTGCCCCTCCTCTCTGTGAGAGACTGCTTTCTAATTATTCTCCCCTCTGAGGGTGTGCCAGGACACTGGCCGGGAGAAAGCCAAGTGGAAAGCAGTCTGTTCAATGATGAGGAGCCTGGGACTTGATGCCAAGGATCGAAACCGAGCAAACTTGTAATTTTCCATTGGTGAAAACATCTGCACTTTCTCATTAGTGAGGTTTCTTCTCCACAACTGGCCTCCACAGCAATTGCCCCAAAGAAGCACCTCCTGTTTCCTTACTAAATTTACATGAAGCATATAGACAAACTAGAAAGACTGTGATGAGGCTTTCTGCAGATACCAGCAGAAGGTGCTGAGGGAAAAGCTGGGCCCTCCTGAGGGGGGATGGTGTCTATGGAAAGAACCTTGCAATAGAATTCTTATTTGCATGATATTGAACGGAGGGAGATGCTAAATATGAGCCCAAAGCCACATAAGTGGCTTTTCATGTAATCCAGAATTTTTTTAAAATTCAGGCTATTTTTATTTTTATTGAACTTTTGCCGTCTATTATCTGTTAACCTCTGCTGTATGTACTTATTAAGTAAACCCAAACAGGTA